CTGCTTACTGGTGTCATCCTCACTCAGGTGACTCTGCCTTTATTTTATGAGAGCAAGATGGGCACTAACTGCCACAGGCTGACCCACCCTGTCTTTTTTTGCATCTTTACTCCCCCATCACTGCATGATGGCTGACCCGGTCTCACCTCAAATGGTTTACCTCCAGCATCTGTTTTGCCTGGAACATCCCTTTGTGGCTCTTGTTTCAAATATCCATGACGGGGACTCTGATGGCCCTACACATTTTTTTCCAGTCAAGTGACAGGTCCCTGGGGTGGCTGTGCAGACCCACCCAGGACCAGGCCCAATCTTCAGCATCATCTCAGTGTGTTGCCAGCTCCACTGAGGCTATGGGAGAAGGTTCTCTGGAAGGGAGCAAGGGCAGGCAGACCCTCTAAATAGGTTAAATAGAGCACAGAAGCAAGAAGTTTTAAGGTGTAGGTCTAATGGGAGAGGAGGTTCTGGAAAGAAGAGCTGGAAAGTTAGTTTGGGGCTAAATCGTGCAGTTTTGGATCCCCCACCAAAGGGTTTGGGCTTTATTCAAAGTGTAGTAGGGGGGCTTCCCTGGTTGCACGGTGGTTAAGAATCCGCCTGCCGATGCAGGGGACACGGGTTCAAGCCCTGGTCCGGGAAGATTCCACATGCTGTGGAGCAGCTAAGCCCGTGAGCCACAACTACTGAGCCTGTGCTCTAGAGCCTGTGCTCCACAACAAGAGAAACCACCACAATGAGAAGCCCCCACACCACAACGAAGAGTAGCCCCTGCTCGCTGCAACTAAAGAAAGCCCACGCACAGCAACGAAGACCTAACGCAACCAAAAATAAATAAATAGATAAGAGGGTTAACATAAATTTTTAAAAAAATGTAGTAGGGAGCCACAGAAGGTGCTGACTGAAGGAGTAATAGGATCAACACGGTGCTGGGAAAGACAGTGTAGAGGCAAGGTGGGCAAGGAGAGCTCAGAGAATGGCAGGCAGCAAGCAGGCTGCAGGCTGGGTGTGGAGATATCCTATCAGGGCCTGCGGTGGTATGGAAGCAGTGAGGGCCGGAAGGAAGGGGCCACACAAACATCCTGGGGAGAAAGAGACTGGGGATCAGTGCACTGCAGGGGTGAAAGAGGAGGAAGGATCAGGGTGATTTTGATGTTGCAGGGCACCTGGGGCAACAGTGGTCCGAGTCTAAGATAGAATAGTCAGAGAAGGCACTGGTTTGGAGGAAAGCTTCCAGCTTTAGTGTGAGACATTTGTTCATCTGTGTTTGTGCTTTGCCAGGCACTGGACTAGGCCTTGTGGGGGCAGAGCGGTGCCTCAATGTGCCCCTGCCTGTAGGCAGCTGCCGCGCCCTCTGCTCAGGGCCCACTCTGCCCTCCAACACCCAGCCCCATCCTGGAGACTCTTACTCTACAGCAAGAACTGTCAGGTTCACCCTCCACCAAGCTTTCCTTGATTCCCAGGCCAAGACGGAGGGATCCTGCTATGCTTTCTCCAGGTTTACCCCATGTTAGCTCTTATCCATGGGCTGTTTCCTTGTGCTCTCTGTGAGGATGGGCATCAGTTTTGATCCATAGGGTCTAGCACAGCACCTGGCATACACTGGATATTCCGAAAATGTTTGCTGAATTAATTTTTAAAATTTACTACACGCCAGGCACCATTTAAATGCTTCACACATATAAATTCACCTAATCCTCAGAGAAACCCTGAGAGTTAAGTACTATTATTACCATGATCATCATCCCCATTTTACAGATCTGGTAGCTGAGGCAAAGAGGTGAAGCAACTTGCCCAAGGTCATACAACTAGTAAGCGACAGAGCCAGGATTTGAACTCTGGTTCCAGAGTCCTTCCTGTTGATCTGGACACTATGACTGCATGTGTGTGGAAATAAAGATTGGGAGCTAAGAAGAAGGCCAGGGGTGTTCCTGGAACAACCACCTGAGATAGAAAGTGCCTCATTGCCATGAGGGAGGACGCACACTAGGGGACCCATCGGCATCTCGGTAAGAGGCCGTGAGAAAGGATTTATTCTAGGAGTTGGGCTTTTGCTATGTGATGCTGGCGGAAGCTTATGGGGAAGCCAAGTCTGGCCTTGCTCTGAACTGGCTGCTGTCAGGACATGAGGGTTAGTCTATGACTTCATCTTTTTTTTTTAAAATAAATTTATTTATTTATTTGTTTGTTTGGCTGTGTTGGGTCTTCGTTGCTGCACATGGGCTTTCTCTAGTTGCGGCAAGCAGGGGCTACTCTTTGTTGCAGTACGCGGGCTTCTCATTGCTCTGGCTTCTCGTTGCAGAGCACAGGCTCTGGGTGCGCGGGTTTCAGTAGTTGCAGCACTCGGGCTCAGTAGTTGTGGCTCGCGGGCTTAGTTGCTCTGCGGCATGTGGGATCTTCCCGGACCAGGGCTTGAACCCGTGTCCCCTGCATTGGCAGGCAGATTCTTAACCACTGGACCACCAGGGAAGTCCTGTGGCTACATCTTAATTCTCATCCAGAAGAAGAGGAGACAGGAGCTGTGGGCATAAAGCAGCAGCACGGTTACCCACGTGAGCAACGACAGAGGGCCCGCTGGCTGCGGGATAGTGTTGTTGTGTCCGTGTCTGGCATGGTGACAGAGTAGCCTTGTTTTTATCTTGATCCATCACGGTCACAGAGTGGCCCCGTTGGCTGTCATTCTGTGAGGTTGTTTGTGTCCAAGAAGAGGAGCCGCGGCCGAGCCGGAGGGCAGGCAGCCAGGTCGCTGTGTTGTTACAAGACTTGACGTCAGCAGCAATGGCACTCCTCTCCCTGTTTCTCTCCTAGAGTGTAAGCTGCTGCGGCTGGCCTGGGGCAGGCGGGCAGCTCTCCAGAGCCCTTCCCCGGCCCCAGCTGCAGCCTCTCCTCCGCCTCTGTTGGGCCTCAGCAAGGGTCGAGCTGTGGTTCTCCGCACGGCCTCTCCCAGCCAGGGGCACCTGGGGGGCGGCAGGTTCGCGAGCCGAAGGCGCACTGCTCATCGCTCCTGTTTCCAGACCATATAGGGCCCCAGTGCTTCCTGCAGTCTGCACCCTCTGCAGCCTCCACTGATGAAAGACCCTGGCCCCTTAGAGCCGTCCCTCCTTCACTCCCTCCTGGAGGCTGGAGCTCCCTTAGGGAAGACACACTACCAGCTGCTCCTGCCAAGGCTACTGCACTGTCCACCTTTCCCCCTCCCTCTGTCCCCTCCCCCTCCCCCCACTTCATCTTCAGCAGGTGAGGACCATCTATTTCTGCCTGCCCCCCAGCTCCCTGGAGAGGTTTGTTTTTAGCGCCGTCTAGTTTATTTCCAGCTCATTCCAGCTCAGAATATTTCCATCAGGTGGACGTGTTTGGGAACAGCTTCCCCTCGCCTCTTCCTCCCAATCACTAAAACAGGCCTTCACATGTCTATTTTGGTGTCATCTGAGTGGCCTCCAGGTCTCTCCGGACTAGGCTGCCTCCATGGAATCGTGTCTGAGCTCGGGTCCAGCCTGGAAAGCCCCAGAGGCTCTGTTGTAATGGAAACAATCCTGTGTGTGTGTGTACACGGCGCCTGCAGAAACCTGGGTGCCCCAAGTGGCTCAGCCCCAGGCAGCTGCCTTGGAAATGCCAACCCCCGTGGAGTTTCGGGACTGCCCCCCGTGACTTACAGACACCAAAGCCATTTTGTGCGTGGCCACTGCAGGGCCACATCACAGGTAGAAACAATGCTGAGTGTAATGCAGGCTTTCGGCAAACATTTGGGGTTTTTTTCTTTTTGCTGTTGTTGATGCTGTTTTTGCCCTTTGGACAAACTATGCACTTGAGTCTGGTGCATATCCTTGGAAAGTGATTCACTCCAACCTACTCTTGGAAACATAGGGACTTGGATCAAAATGTGAGTCCAGGTGCAAGTGACCATGGGACCCGGCGCGACTCCCTTCTTCAACCTGAGGCTCCCCACCTGCACCACAAGGAATTTGGCCCGAACCACCTCCAAAGTCCTTTTTTTTATACATATGACCCCAGGATCACCACTGTGTCCAGCTGGGTCTCTCACTCACCAGACCAGCCCATCAGTAGGGCACTAGAGACAGCCTTTTCTGTTTCTGCCCCCTTTTTTTGCATCAAGCAGCAACCCCTCAAATCAAGCAAATGTTTCATTAGAAGGCAGCAAAGGAAAGACGTGACACACACATCCTGCCTTTGCAGGTTGGGAAAATTACAGGTGCAGCCATGCACTAACTGCTCCACAGCTGCTAGGGCTCATTACTTCTGCCCCCTCCGCTCTGGGCCTCCCCTGCCTGTTGGAACTTGCGCTCGCAAGAGCCAAGGAGAGGAGAGGTGAGGGCACACGCTCGTGGCATCACTAAGGGTTCTGACCGTGAGTCAGATGGCTCAGCTACAACCAAGTTCTCACCCTGACCAGCGGCAGTTTGCCTGGTTTTCCCCCATTCACAGATTCCAGAGAAGGCTGCACCTTACAACTTTCTTCACACCAACCCCACTCATACCACATACACCTTGAGAAAAATATTCTGATCCTAGAGCTTGAAGGTATTTGAACATCTCTGAAAAACCACGTTAGGAGTTTGCTGTCTTGCGATTTGACTGAGCAGGCCTGGGAGGCAGGAGAGGACACAACCTACAGAGAAAACATTTGCCCCTGAGATGACAGTGAGCTGCATGACCCAGCCTGGAGCTGCCAGCCAGCCTGGAGAGAGATGGAGAGTGTCTTGGCCACCCAGTGCCAGGGTGGCACCGGACCACAGAATCCCATGCTACTTCAAAGCCAAGGGAGCAGCAGCTGCCAGCCTGCCACTCAAGGTCACAAGAGAGGCACACACACACACACACACACATGCGTGCCAAGATCCCCATCAACTCCAATGTCAAGCCCCTTTACGTTGCAATTCCAACACCAGCGGAGGAGTTTAAAATTTAAAGGCTGCTGAAACCTCCAGAACAAGTTTGCTTTCCAAGAGTCTTTTTTCCAAAACAACAAACACACACACACTCACACAACTCACCCAAGCAGCAAGCTGAGTAACAGAGCAGTCCTGAAATGGTGAGCAGATGAGCGAGGCTGAGGGATGGCCCCGTCATCGCGGGCAAGGCCCCGGCGGACTGGCCAGGGGACACCCGCTGGAGGCTGGCGGAGATTTGTCACGCCCCCAGCGCTCCCAGCGCCTGGCCTGCTGGGCATTTGGGGTGGGAGTTGGACAATCCCTGCTTTGGTGTCGCTTCTGCCCCGGATGCCAGGGGTCCGGAGGCCAGTCCTGAGCTCCCGGGAGCAGGAACGGGAGGCAGAGCTCTGGCCTCTCAGGAGGATGCACTGGGGGTGGCTTGGGAGAGGAAGAGTTCCCCAGGGAGAGCCCAGGGGAGGAGGTGGGGCTGGAGCCCAGGATACTGATGCCCCTGCAGCAGAGGGGAAACGTAGGGTAACCCGTGAAACAGGCTGCTTTGCACTCTGGCAAGCCCCACAGGGCCATCCTCACTGTCACCCCAGCCGCCGTGGGTGTGGGGTGGGGGGGAGTCTGCCTGCCTCCGCTCCAGGGAAGGTCACCACATCTATGCCAGTGCTGGCAACAAAGCTAAACTTAATTTAAAAAATATATATATATATATATTTCCAAAGGGCCCATGAGGCAAACTTTTTAAATGAAGCTTCCCTGTAAAATGATTAAGTGACATATACCAAATACACGTGGAAATCTGACACTTTATAGGCACCCAAGACACAGGCATGCGCACAAACATACAGAATATTCTAGATCATAAAAGCAGTAAGCACTGCTGTTTTAACCAGCTTAGTAAGGACCATGAGCTATAGCAGGAGTTGGCAAACTTTTTCTGGAAATGGCCGGATAGTGTTTTAGGCTCTACGGGCCTCATGGCCTCTGCTGCAATGCAACTCTGCCATGGTGCATGAAAGCAGCATAGACAACACAGGAAGGAATGCGTGTGGCTGTGTTGCAATGAAACTTTATTTACAAAAATAGGAGGCAAGCTGGATTTGGCTCCCAGGCTGTAGTTTGCCGACCACTGAGCTACAACCTTCAAAAGAAAGGATACTTCTTGTATTCATTCACTCATCTGCTGTTTCATTCATTCAGAAATACACAGTGAGTGAGTGCCAAATGCCCGCAAGACACAATGACTAGACACAGTCCCTGCCCTCGGAACGTCTCAGTCAGTGTTGTGGAAAGAGTACAAGCCCTAGAGTCAGGCAAACTTGGGCTGCAGCCCTGCTTTTGCCACTTACTGGCTATCTGAACTTGAGGAACTTACTCACTCTCTCAGAGTCTCGGCTTACTTACCTGTCGAGTGGGTATGGCGAAACTCACCTAGCTCATTCGTTGTAAGGATTAGAGCAAGGCTTTTGGAGTTCCTAGCACAGAATAGGGGCTCTTTTATCAACATTTTCATAGATAACTTGTACGAAGTGGAAAAATAAAAGCGGCTAACGTGGCACTGGGGTGTCTGGAGGGATTTACAAGAAGTGATGGGTACCAGTTGGGGCAGGGGATACAAGTGAGAAATCAGGGAAAGCTTCCTGGAAGAGGTGGCATTTGAGCTGTGCTTTGAAAGTTGAGAAGATCTGCTGGGGAACTTCCCTGGTGGTCCAGTGGGTAAGACTCCACACTCCCAGTGCAGAGGGCCTGGGTTCAAGCCCTGCTTGGGGAACTAGATACCACATGCATGCCACAACTAAATGCTGCAACTAAGAGTTCACATGCCTCAACTCAGAAGTCCTCATGCTGTGGCTGAAAGATCCCGCATGCCACAACTAAGACCCAGTGCAGCCTAAATAAATAAATAAATATTAAAACGTATATATATATCTGCTGGTACCGTGATGAGAGGAATGAGGGAGGAGAGGGTTAGGCTCTGTTCCTTCTCTGGAGCATCTCCCTCTGTTCACAGAAACATCAGGGAAGACAGCACAGAGGGCATGGAGTCCTGAAACCCAGCCCAGGGCAGAAAGGTCTTCTGCGTCACATTTACCCAGATCCTCTGGTGCCAGGGCCTGTTCCTGCAGCTCTTCAATTTTTCAAGCCTCATTTCAAAAACCCTTAGAGATGGAAGTTTTGCCATTTTAAGCACCTGAAGCATTTATTTTTTTACCATTCCACTTCAAACTTCTCCTCAAAAGGTTTACACAAGTAAACCACTCAGCTGTACTTTGTTTCATGATTGTCAGAACGAAGGGGCTGACTAGAGGATCACTGACGTCCTGTCCAGCCCTGCAGGTGTCCGCGTCTCTACTCCCAACCTAATGTCTCAGGCTCACCAATGTCTCTTTCTGTCTCCCTCCTTCTGCAACTCTCTTTCCTGCCTCGATCCCATTCTCTCTCTGTCTCGCTGTCTCTAACTTGGTCTCATTCTCTGTCTCCGTCTCTCCAGGCACTAGCAGTTGAATTTCCTTAAGTCAAATGCCTGGAGGTGTGCTCACTGCCTAACTGCCCCTCGGCCAAGCGTGCCAGCTTGAGATCAGGAGTCCTGGCCTCCAGTGCTGTGTGGCCAGTAACTTGCGGCGTGACCTTGGAGAACTCACATCTGTGCTGGGGGTTGGTTTTCCCAAATGTAAATGGGAGCTTTGGACCAGATGCGCTCTAAGCCCATTCCAGCCCCTGCTTCTCCCAGGGGAGATGGTTCCTGAGACTCTCCTCTCTTCTCCCCTGGAGAGCAGTCCTTGCCCTCGACGCAGCCTCTTGTTGGCCCAAGCACTAGCTCACCCAGCAGAGCTGCCTGCAAAATCTAATTCATAGTAAAAGTTTCCGGGGCCTTCCTGCAGCTGTCAGCAGGTGTCATCTTCACAGTATTTTGTCTTAATCGCAGCTCTGGGATTCATCACCCAGGCCAGAAGACCTTTCTGGAATACTGCCTCCCAGGCACCAGGCCAGCACCCCTGTCCCCACTGCTGCCACATGCAGGCCTGTTTCCTGATGAGCCTCCCAAAGTGGAGTCTGCTTTGCATCTTCCCCAGGCCATGTCTCCCACCCCTGCTGCCCAGAGAGGCTGTGTGGCCTGGCTAACTCGGCACCCTTCCCAAGGACTCAGACTCCCCAGAAGTAGGCTGGAGGACCTGGGGTCTGTCTTCTCACTGCCAGACACGCTCTCCTTGACCAAACTTTGGTCAGGCTCTGAACCAGGCCCCCACCTTGGGCTTCCTTGCTGAGTCCAGTTTTAGGAAGAAGCCTGCTAAATCGGTTTAGAGAGAATTGCCACCCTTGAGATCCGTTCACCCTTGATATCTGATCAAATTCCTCATCTCCCCCACCCCTGATACCTTATCACGTGGCCTGCCTTCAGCGAGAATCCTGTTAAGTGGCTTTAGCAAGATCCCCCTACCCTTGAGGTCTCTTGGTAATTTTCCATCTACCAACCCCTCGATCTGCTCCTTGACTACAAATCCCCACTTGTTCCTGTTCAATTCAGAATTGAGCGCAATCTCTCTCCCCTCTTGAGAGAGTCTTGCCACCCACGGCAATAGTCTCCATTTTCATATCATCTGCTAACGCCAACGATTGGTGCAGATTTCCTGGAACACTGTGTTGAGAAGGACCCTGAGGAAAGAGAGTCACGACTTATTGGTATTGCCTCCCAGAGATGGAAGGAAGGAGTGGCATCTGCGCTGCTTACTTGCTGGGCCTCGTTTAGCAAAATCCATGAAACGATGACAACACCGGACTCAGCACATCCCACGCATTATTGCACTGAATCCTCAGAGTATGATTACCCTCGATTTACAGAGGAGAAACCTGTAAATTTAAGATTGGTCCAGGCCGCATGGCTAGGACTGGGGTCAGAGTTCAACAGGACTCTCGTGCAGCCCTGGGAGAAGGTGGCCTCCTGGTGGCCGCTTCCCCAGCCCCAGGGGATGGCTCCCCATCAGACTGCCCTCCCCACTCCTGCTGCTTTCCCTGCTCTTGCGGGCCAGGCGGCTGCCCTCCGACCTGGCCCTTCCCTGGTGGCTGGCTCTCTCTACTCTTAACCCCCAGCTGCTGACTTTACATCCCAGGACCTCCTCGGAGTTGGGGCTGTGAGGAGAAGGCTTGGACTCCCCCAGAATGTGTGCTCCCCGCCACCCCATAGGCCAGAGCTATCCCTGAGAAGCGGTGGCACTGCCCAGCTCCCGCACAGTGAGGGTAGCTGGGGCGTGTGGCCACATGACTCTTCCCACCGATGGTTCTGCCTGGATGCAGAAGACTCCAGCCCTGGGTGATGCTGGAGCCAGGACAGAAAGGGCCTGCATCTCTGGATGCCAGTGAGGAGGCCGGCCACCCCCAACCAGGGCCACTGGACTCTTGGGCGAGCAGAAAATGAATTTTGACTAGACAAAGTCACGGACATGTTGGCGTTTGTTTGTCACAGCAGGTGGCATTACCCCAACAGGGGGTGAAGCGCCAGCCACAGGAACATTCGTGAGCATTCGGTACCCTTCCCTGGTCCCCACAGCCACTGCACACGGTGATATCAGTACCATCAGCCTCGTCTCCAGACGACGGTCAAGATCTAAGGATGCGCCTGAGGTCGCACACAGCTGGTAGATAGTTGGCCAGATGTCTTGAATTGAAGACATCAGCTGAATCCAGATGTCTGACCCTGGAGACTACTGGAGGTGAGCAGCACAAAGTGGTGACCTTGCCCCACACCCTCACCAGCCGGCAAGAATGAGCAGGGAACCTCAGACAAACGCAGGTGTGTCCCAGCCAGCTGGGCTTGGAGGCACTTCCAACACCCAGTGCCATGTCTTTCTAACCAAACTTCATGATCACTCATCTTCAGGTCCTAGTTTCCTGGTTGGTAAACGCAATCCGACCTCCCTGACTATCCTGGCCGCAGAGAGGGTTCAGTCATGTGTGCATTTACTTTCTCTGTTGAATAGGTTACTCTTCAAGGTGGGCAAGGGATCTGCAACTCATTTTGAAATTCATCGAATAAAATAAGGTGGATAAACAGATAGAAGATAGAGTAAACATAGCAAAATGATAACGACTGCAGAATCTATGTGCTGGGTGTATTTGTTTGCTAGGGCTGCCAAAGTAAAGTACCTGGGCGGCTGAAATAACAGAAATACATTTTTCACAGTCTGGGAAGCTAGACGTCCAAGACGAAGGTATCATAAGGTTTGGTTTCTTCCAAGGCTTCTCTCCTTGGCTTGCAGATGGCTACCTTCTCCCTGTGTCCTCACATGGCCTTTGCTCTTTTTAAGCATCCCCGGTGTCTCTTTGTGTGTCCAGATCTCCTCTTCTTATAAGGACACCAGTCAGATTGGACCAGAGCCACTGCTATGACCTCACTTAACCTTAGTCACCTCTCTAAAGGCCTATCTCCAAATACAGTCACATGCTGAGGTAATGGGGGTTGGGACTCCAATATATGCATTTTGGGGGAGGTGGGAGATGCAAGGCAGCCCATAACAGTAGGCATACTGGTGTTCCCTGGACAATTCTTTCCACTTTTTTTTTGAATGTTTG